AAGAGCTTCACAGATAAGGAAAAGCTAAAGGAGTTCATCACCACCAAACCAGTATTATATGAAATGCTGAAAGGTATCCTTTAAGAAGAGGAAGAAGAAGAAAAAGGTAAAGATACAAATGATGAACAACAAACATGCATCTATCAACCAGTGAATCTAAGAATCAAGTGAATAAATAATCTGATGAACAGAATGAACTGGTGATTATAATAGAATCAGGGACATAGAAAGGGAATGGACTGACTATTCTTGCGGGGGAAAGGGGTGTGGGAGATGCGGGAAGAGTCTGGATAAAAATCGTGCACCTATGGATGAGGACAGTGGGTGGGGAGTGAGGGCAAAGGGTGGGGTGGGAACTGGAAGGAGGGGAGTTATGGGGGGAAAAAAAGAGGAACAAATGTAATAATCTGAACAATAAAGATTTAATTATAAAAAAATGAAGAATTTTTATCGTCAATATTAAACAAAGGGTATAAAATGAAAGCATTTGGCTATAAGTGCTCAATATAAACTCTGATAATGCTACAGGGATCTTACAGAGTTAAAGGTTTAGAGCGGCCAAGAATTCAGAGCTTGGAATGGGGTAGAGTCAGGCAGTTCCTAGGACATAGGAAGAGAAAAAGCCAGGGATGGGAGAAGCAGATTTTTGTTCTTCTATATTGATTGGAATAATCTATTACAATAATATGTTTGTTTGGAAGGGAATGTTGCTGTTTATGAAAAATATTAGCCATTTTAAAAAAACTTTTTTTTTCCTAGTAAATGTGACACAGTGGAAAACCAAGTAACTTACAAGATCAGAAACTGAAGCCAATTCAGAAAATTAGCTTACCTTATTTGCTTTGGCTTAATTTTATGTAAGAATCAATATTAATATTAAAAAAATCTATAGAGTTTTTGGCACATGAAGAGGGAAAAAAATTCTTTGAAATCACTGATGTTTCTATCTCTCTCTCCTCCCTTCCTCTCTCTCTACCTTAATGTGTCAAGGCCTCAAAACAAAAAATTAAATTAACAACCATCCAATCATTGGCTACCTACAAAAGTTATGAGTTGGGAGACCAAAAATGAATAAAGTCCCTTCCTTCAAAGTAATGAAACAAAGGTACACCTAAGAATCTAGGGAAACCCGAAGAGAAAATTGTAATTCTTGCATTTTTAAAAATATGAAAAAATATTAGCAATTTCATTTGATTCAATACTCCCCGCCCCCCCGCCCCGCCCCAACATACACCATCCCTTCTTTTCTTGTGTGGATAGGAAGAGAGGCATTTAGAGAAAATATCAATTATCCAGATGTTTGTAGTTCATATGAAAGATGTCTGTTTTAAGTAAATACTGGAAGATGAGCTAGATTTAACAAACAGTAACAGCAAAAGATAAGGCTAAGACTTCTCATGTGTGGTTTTATTTTGAGGAGATAGATAGAAGATCTAAGATCTCCTGTGAACCAAACAACATTCATTAGGCCTTATCTTTAAAGATAATGGTTATTATTTTAAATTAAAATATATTTGATAAGAGCAAACATCAAAATCATTGCTGCTTGCAAGAGAATTGGTATTCAAGGACATGTTATTCACTATAGATAGTATATCAACAAGCACATTTTAAAGAAAGATAGCCTTGCATTATTTTGTAGGAATCAGCATAGTTCTTGCTTTCCAGAAATTAGGAGAAAAACTTCAGCTATAAAGTGAAAGTCTTACATTTTTAAGAATGACATGCTACATATATTTTAACACTAGTCATCATTTTCTTCCGTAACTATACTAAAATGAACATATTCAAAAGAGAAGATACATTAGCTCACAAAAGGGTAACTTCCACATCAGTCTGTTCATAAGCAGCGTTCAATCTGATTTAAAACATGCTACGAGCAAGGATTCTGGAAGTCAAGTCGAACACACTTCAGTTTTATTCTCTCTTTAAAACTACAATGAAGAGATTTTTAAAAAGAAGTTGGCAAACACAAAGAGGAGAGTGAAACATAACGTTGGACCCTGGAAATCAGATGGGCATGCGCTATCACAGAAAGCAAAGCCCTGTTTTCAGGGGGCAAAACACCCCACTCCAATTTATGCTGCAGGACCCTCAAAGGACTCAGAAACTACCAGCACCTTTGGAACGAGGAGTGGTGAATATAGAGAAGGAAATGGGCTAAAATGAGAAGGAACTAGAGGTGTGTATTTGAGAAGCAGTCAAACCCCTTACTCCAGCAAAGATATAGGCAATAATTATCCAGAACAGTTTGAGGCCAAAGGCACACCTAGCTCCTTTCTCACTTCCTTCAGTTCTGAGCCCTTTAAGCAGAATTACTGGCTCTACCTTCCTAAAACAGGCTCCTATTCACTATCCTCCCCCACCTCCATTACCCCGAATTCCACTTTATTCTTCAGACTGCAATGGAGCAAGGACCTCATCTGCCTTCCTACCCACTGATGCCAGCACCTAGAATAATGCACAGTACATACACAGAATGTGCTCAATCTAATCCAACGGTTATCACCCTATGATATTCATCTATCAGTTGCTACCAATTCCTATAAATGGCTTCATAATATTTTAATATCTAATGCCAGGTTTTGCTTTTTCATCCTTTATTTCCTAGCCTATGCATATAGTTTAAATGATAAAAATTGTTTTTCAGACATAATGCCCGTCTCCCTCAAACACACATGCAACAAGCCACTCATAGTTATGCCTATACTATGCAATCTCAATAGATTCAGTTCCTTGACTTTCTCTTCAAATACCTACCGGCGCAAAATGAGTTGGGGGAGTGACAGAACAGATAATGCGGGCTCAGGTAAGTATGGTTACAGATTCTAGACCTGTGGTGGAGAGAAGACTCTAAGAGAAGTTGCTCTCACGCCCAGTATGCTGAGGAGAAGCCCGAGTGCAGAAGGTGCACTCAACACACTAAACCGTTATCACACAATCCATGGTGGCCTGATGGGAGAGGTGGGGCAAGGGTAGCTCAAGGAAAGGGAGAGTGGATATAAACTACTTAGCTTTTTAACCTTAGGGTGTGTTTAAAAAAAGACAACTCCCACAGCTCCTCTGCTGCAACTTGACATTCTGTTGTCTCCTTCCACTCGGTCATATAGAATCAGAGCAGAAGCAAAGTCACCGACAGCACAGTTTCCCCAAGGGCCACCTGAGTAATGTTTACCTACAGAAATCACGAGCTTAACAGGAACAGTGCTCACAAGAAAACGAATAGAAGTAATGTTATTTGCAAGACTTTTAATTTTTTTTGCCATAAAGTAAGCTAAGAAAAGGCTTATGTGGAAAGTGTGCTTTATTTGAAAGTTTTATTTGTAGACTCTTAAAGAAATTGGCTGAGCAAAATGGACTACAAAAGTATGTTTTCAAGAAATGCGACTGTTTAATTTTACTTCTCAAGACTTTGAATGGCTCTTAGATTCACTTTCTCCTCCAAACATACCAATGTCATCGTCTGTCCGGTCAATGGGGTCCTTCTCCAGGCAGTCTCGCACGATGTCCCTGCTCATCAGAGGATCCGAGGCCCGCTCAATGTCTTCTTCATCGTCGTCGTCCTCAGAATCCACTGCTGTTTCTGGCAGCCCACTCAGGTCCATATCACCAGCCTCACTTTCTGTGGCCTTAACGCAGAGCAAAACAACTTTTTAACTGTTTTAAGTACATCTTTTGTACCCAAAAGAAACAAGAACAAATCTAGTTTAAAATATTAAAACGTTTATTATATCAATTTTTCTGTAATAAAGTTACATGTGTCAACATCAATAAGTAGTTATGTACCCAGCACTACATAAAATAATTATTTCAACAAAATGAGTGATTTTATTCCCTATTAAGTTTTTTGTTGGGATTAATAAATTTATCTCTGTATTTTTTATTTCTTATCCAAGCTATCATATGACATTTAAAACATCATAAAATAAAGAAGAAAAAAAGTTTGTTTTCACTCCATTTTTAAAAAAGAGAATGACTTAATAAGCTCACGTTAATATTTTCTAAAGTTTAACAAAAATAATTTTAATCACATTTTCACTTTGTTACGTACCTTTCCTAAACTAAAATACGTATGTACATTATAAGAAAAACCTAGGGTGAAAATAATTGAAGACAGAATACCTAATGAATATAGGATAATTGAAAATGTCTGTAGGACAGCTCTGCAAGCAAGGCCTTAATAAATATCACTTAAAAACACCATCATGAGCAGAGGTGCGCCAGTTGGGAGAGCAATAAGGCCTGTGGCCAAGGCAGAGAGAATCAATTGTGGCACGCTCAGAAAACACACCACCTAATTTAAATTCAGAATCCACAGAATTGTTTCTAAATTCTAGAATGAAAATGAAGTAGAGCTTGTTTTGATATAGTATGCCAAGGCTGTGAGCAGAGAATCTAAGCCAACATTGTTGCTATTGGCATCTTATGTCTGACCGTCTAGAAATGTGACAACTTGCTAATGCTTGTTCTGACTACATTTTCACCTGTGTCATCTTTACATTGAAGATGATTATTCATCACCTTATACTTTCAAATTTAAAATCAGTCCTCTACATACACATTCTTTAATATTAGCTCAGGGTGAGGGACACTAATGAAGACAGAAATAAAAACAGAAAACTCTTTTAAATGCCATAGTTATATAACAAGGTTTTTCTTTAATTTCTAAACATCTAACATATGATAAGAGATGAAAAATAAATGAATACAATCTCAGAGAAATCTTATTATTTAAATGAATTCTATTTGTCTTAAATAGAATAAAAAAGACTTTCAAATGTGAATTGGATCAATCCCTCCAAAACTGAACCCTCACCCATTCGTGTTCATGATCATTACTTGTTTTCTGTTATGTGTATTCTATTCTTTAAGAAACTATGCTTAAAATAACATTCACTAAACCTGAAGATGATTTTTATTTTATTTAAATAAATATCTTTTATTTTAAAATACTACAGAATTCCTTTTAATATGTTTGAAGTTAAATCAATAACTTTTCAAGAACCTACTAATTTCATAATATCACTTTCTCATGAGCAATGAGATGTTTGGAGACAGAGGGAAGTTAAATAAAGTTTAATGAACACTAACTGGTCTACAGAAGGGTACTCAACTTAAGAGGAATGCCTGGAACCTAGTAGTTACTGAATTTTATTTTTTGCTGAATCAATACACAAACTCAGAGTTTAACAGTTGAATCAATTCTACCATTCACTATGTGACTTTAGCAAAGTCCCTTAGCCTCTATGAAAGCAATTTTATTATCAGCAAACTGGAGTAATATCTTGCCATTCACAGGATTGTTGGATCAAATAGGGAAAAGAAAGCCAATAACAGGCTACAAAAAAGTTCCTTCTTCATGGGGACACATTTTTCTCATCAGTAGTTGCATACTTTTACCTCTCCCCATCCCTGCTATGAGCCTCGCACACAATTTATATCAGCAGAATCTGTCAAAAAAAACACCCAAAAACCAAAAACACGCCCCCCCCCCAACAAAACTATGGTAGAACCCCAACCCCTTACATACTGTGAAAAATTTTTTCTCAGGCTAACTGCATCCATTATATTCTGGCTCAATGGCTCATAAAATAATGATAAAAATAGTGATTCTATATTGCATGACTACCACGTATCTAGAATACTTGATGTTTTTAATACAAAATAATCTTCGTAGCTATTCAGCAAATTAGATTGCCCCTATTATTTTTAATCCTCACCTGAAGATACTTCTTTTAAAAATTGATTTTACAGAGAGAGAAAGGCAGAGGGAGGGAGAGAGGGAGAGATCAGTTGCCTCAGGGGATCAAAACCACAATCTGGGCATGTGCCCTGACTGGGAATTGAACCTGAGACCCTTCAGTGCATGGGTCGATTCTCCAACCAACTGAGCCACACTGGCTAGGGCAGATTGCTCCTATTTTTTAGATGAAAAAAACACTAAGGAAAATTAAATATACTGTTCAATATAAATTAAAACAAAATAAAATCCAGCAACTGTGTCAGAACTCAAAATCTGGTCTAACCAATATAAACTACTAAATAAATATTTTGCACTATAATACTTTGCCCAGTTTTCTCAAAAGAATGTCTCCATAAAGAAAATAAGTTAAAACATAATAAAGCAATAAAACATGTTCTGCTTTGTTACGTCATAAAACATGAAATATTTAAAAATATATATTTACATATAAATATAAAACACTTGCTAATTTCTAGTTTCTCCTAACTATAATATTACTAAGATTAATGCTTGTCGTTAAGGTCTTTTATTCTAAATAATGACATGCACACAGACACCTTATATTTAAAAAGTATCTGATTATATTTATCTCAGGAGAAAGAAGAAAGGCTTATATATTTTAGTTAGGCAAATAATTCTGTCCTAAATTAATTTATCTTTCAATTATATAACCTAATATAGATTTAAATGCACATTATAGCTATAGTCATAATCTCAAAAAAATCTGTATTATCAGATCAATACTGAAAGCTCTATGATTTATTTAAATCAAAAGGGACTACATATATTGTTATTAAAAATACAGTTCTTAAAACCAATTTATTTTGCATTTTTTAAAGTTGCTTTAGAGATTTTTATTTATTTTTTAAAATATATTTTTATTGATTTCAGAGAGGAAGGGAGAGGGATAGAGAGATAGAAACATGAATGATGAGAATCATTGATTGGCTGCCTCCTACACGCCCCCTACTGGGGATCGAGCCCGCAACCCAGGCGTGTGCCCTTGGCCAGAATCGAACCTGGGACCCTTTGGTCCAAAGGCCAACACCCTATCCACTGAGCCAAACTGACTAGGCTACTTTGCATTTTTAAAGATTATCAAGAAAAAGAACAAAGTGAGGAAATATTACATGCCATAAAGCTCTAGTGAAGTGTTAATTTACCTAAAATAAAAATAACTAGTGCCTGGCTGGAGTGGCTCAGTTGGTTGAGCATCATCCCATTCACTGAATGGTTGTTGGTTTGATCCCCAGTAGGGGAGCTTTCAGAAAGGCAACTGATCGATGTTTCTCTCTCAGCAATGTTCTTCTCTCTCCTAGCATGTACTCTGGTGAGAATTAAAGAAAAATAAAAACGACTATACATGTTTTACATTAAGTACTTAAAAATCATTTATGAAAAAACTTTTTGCTTACAAATATCCCACACATGGATACCCATGTTTAAGAGGGTTGCTTAATAGAATTCTCGATTTAAATAAATTTTGTGCAGAATTTCAAACATACATATTTAACTCAAACAGTACCTAAATTTAGGCTAGATATAAATTTAGGCTAGAAAGTTATAGTGAATGCTAGTGCTGATGCTAATTTGACCGAGACCAGAGTAAGTAGGAACTGCAGACAAAACCAATACGTATGAAGTATGAAAATACATTTCAAAATAAATATAATGCTTGTATTAAATCTAGTTTATGTATCATAATTTATACTGTTCCTAATTTTATACTTCCAACATTTTTATTTCAATATAGGGTTTAAAAATGTGTATACCTAAAAGAAAAGAATAATTCTTTAAAGCTCTTAATGTAAATTGTTAGGTTTCTTTCCAAATATTAACAATCCTAATAGGTATAAGAATGTCCATCTGTAAATATTTACTATAAGAAAGTCTGCTAATTTGATAGAAAAAATAGTTTCATATTTAAATCCTCATATACTCAATTACCAATGTTTTAAGGTATAGATACTTGCGTGTTCTCTTCTGCAAATTACCTACTCTTGCCCTCTGAATATTGTTATATTATGAACTGAGTATTTTTCTTATTAATTTGCATAAGAGAGTTATAGTCTGACTTTACATGTCTCAGTTGATCTTATAATTATTAATTTTTTGACCATTCATTATACCATTAAGAATTTGATAATTCTTGGAATTTAATCTTAATTATGGTATAAAATGAGATTATAAAATGATCCCTCCACCCCAAAGACCATTTATTGAAAAATTCATTACTTTCTTAATTTATTTGTGAGGTTTCCTCTATCCTTACAACAATCCTTACACACCAGTTTTGTTTTGCTTGAACTCTCTGTTCTATTGATCTATTTCTGTACAACTATTTCCAGTCCACCTAAGTCATTGCTCTGCTAATCACACCAGTTAGCCAGGACCTTATCAAGGCTGGAAACTGTATTGTCTCATATCACCAACTTAGCCATTTCTGCTTTCTATTACCAACAGCTTCCTATTTGTTTTGTTTCTATCCATCTTCCATCTGCTTCCACCTGCTTTCAAGGTAACCCTTTTTTAAAAAAAACTGAAGCATGATCTTCAAGACTCTTACTTTCTATCTCTAGCTCTCACACCTTCAGCTAATATTTCCTAGTTTAATATTTCAATCACATTCATTAAACGCATTTGTACTGCATGGCCATGATTTTCTGGCAGTATACTAACTAGGCTCTAGAGAGAAAAGAGAGACAAAACAGAGAAGTCCCGACTTCTTGAGCCAGTGTTCTTATAGGAAGACAGAAAGTAATAATACTTTCAATTAAAAATCTAAATAAAAGAACTAGCCAGGAAGGAACCAAAATATAGGACCTACTTTTTAGAGGGGAATTAAATTTAAAAAAAAAAAACCCACTGAGCCCTAACTGGTTTGGCTAAGTGGATAGAGCCTCTCGGCCTGCGGACTGAAGGTCCCAGATTCGATTTGGTCAAGGGCATGTACCTTGGTTGCGGGCACATTCTCAGTGGGGAGTGTGCAGGACGCAGCTGATTGATGTTTCTCTCATCAATATTCCTAACTCTCTATCCCTCTCCCCCTCCCTTCCTCTCTGTAAAAAAAATCAATAAAATATATTAAAAAAAAAAACCCACTGAGAAAATAGTACTTAAGAAAGAAGAACAACAACAAAAAAAAGGATCACGTAAGGAGAAATCATTCTAGGCAGAAGGCAAAAACAAAGCTCTGCAGCTAGGAAGAGCCTGGCATGTTGCTCCATCCGTCTTTATATTACACTCATATAACGAAACTTCAGTCACAAGTGAAGCCAAATCTTTGCTTTCTTTGTGTAGAGAAAATTACTTAAAAGGGCAGAGGAAATTCGTTCTGTATTTTAGGGCACCAACTCAATTGAGCTGCACTGCCCTAGTCAATTTGCTTTCCTACTCTCTGAAACTGCTGTTTCAAAACTCCTCTCTCCTTAAATCTCTCCATCAGCCAAACCTCTTGCTCTCAACAAATGAACTCAATTCTTCAAGAGAATAATAGAAGCCATTAGATAGAAACTCTTTCCAAACTTCCCACTCCAAACCCACCATGGTATGTCCCTTTTAAAACAAAGGAGGGTTTCTTTTCTTACAGCTAGTTATCCCACTGTGCTCTTGAATTCCTCTCCTCCCAACCTCTCAGAAAAATTATCCTACACTTATATTAGCAATATAAAGACCCCACCAAAAGGGCCTTTTTTGGTATGTTTTAGACACTTTTCCTAAATTTGCATTTTCTAACTCAATGAATTATTAGCAAATTAAAAAAATTATTTTGCTTTTAAAACATTTTTTAAAATTCCATAGTTCCAGTTTCTTTTCTATTCATCGGCATCATAAAAATTTATTTTGAACATGTAACTACATCTATAGGTAAGAAAAACAATGATCTAATCTTAATAATCTCTTCCTTTTTTTGTCATACACAAGACTTCAATAAGAAAAACTTACCATAAAAGCATAATTATGCAGATATCCCTTACAATTTTAGTTTAAAAAGTCACAAGCCTAATACATCTATACTCAAATTAATATTTAAAGTCAAGAGGAACATTTCCATTGTAACAATTCTATTAAAAGTTCTGATAACTGGTAATATTAGAGGCAAATACAATTAGATAGTAGTTCACTTCTTAAAACAAACTACAACATACTATATGTCTGTGTGAAGCATAAACATTAACACTTTATGTCTGTGGATGCACACAATATATACACATATAGTTACTTTATAGGTTCTATTAATGAATAACCACAAAGCTCCTTGGAATGAAAATGAAGCAAATGATAAGAAAAACACCTTCTTACCTGGTAGATATCAGAAAGACTGCTGCTTCCAGAATCACTAGTGATACTACATCCTGAGTGGCTAGAAGAAACGTGGGTCACCTGTGGGTGGAGGCTATCAGTAAGGTGTAGTTTTGTGAAATCTGCAGGAAGCTATGGAAGGAGAGGAAAAAAAACAGAATTACAATTTGAATCAAGAATTCCAAAAATACATTTAAAAATGATATTATACTGTACATTATTTAGCCATATATATTAAGAAAGATCCTTCATTTTTTAAAATTCAGAAATTACTAAAGATTGTCCTATTTACCAAAAATCACAAAAGAAAATTTGAAAGTTCATGCGCATTCAATGAACTTCAAATAATGCCAAATTCAACGTGTAAATAGGTGGGTGTGGTGATTAAGATGAAATCAGGTAAGCATTTAATTCAATGAATTAAAATAAAAATGTCAAATTAGACATTTAAGAGCAAATCAGTCTACTACTACTACTACTTGTTAGCCATCACAAATGCAACTTTGTGACAAGAGACAGCTTAAATAAGAAAAGAGACTGAAGGTTTTTTATATCCCCCAATAATATTTGAAGATTTAAAAAACGAAGCATCTTAGAATTGATGAAGTATATTATTATACGAGTAACTGCTAGTCTCTATGGAGAAGTCAGAAAAGAATGCTCTCAAAGAACTTAGAATTGAAAAAGTTATGGACAACATTTACTTATCTATACAAACACACATAAATATCAACTTTCTATTTGTTCCTGTTTAAACCACAAATAAATGTAACCTCTATTGAACAGATTCACTAAGCATCCCTCAAGTGCTTCCGCCACTCTCCCATATAACTGAGAAAATGCATTGAAAACAAAAACACTCATACATTTGCCTAATGAGCAAGTATTTATGGAGTCCTCTTCCTCTTACTATGTGCTAATCAGTGAATGAGACACTAAGAAAATACTGCCCTTAAGTATCTTGCGCTCTTATAAGTTATTACCAATTATTTTGAATTAAAAAAAAAAGATGCTATCTATGATACCACACTTATAATACTACTGGCCAAAAATACACATGGCATTTCAAAATATATGCTAACTTTAACATAAGGCAATCCTAGTAACATTCTCTTTCCTGCCTGCATATTGGTCCTATTTAGCTGTTGAATAATAATAATAAATACATAAACTAATTGTCAAAATAAAATATCATTCCCTTCTTTTCCTTTGACTTCATCCCTTCTCCCCCCTCAAAAAATAAAATGCCATTCCATAGTTTAGAATTAACCACACAAGGGAGGTGATTCAGATTTACAACAATAACCAATGGGTTTGACACCTCCAAGTCCCAAACAAAGAGGCAAAATGTACTTATATCCCGCAATCATTCAGACACGACCCAATAAGCAGATTAAGATAGTAACATTTAATATAGTCTATACAGAGTATTTTTGAACTTCATGAGAGACAAGGTATCCCAAGGAAAGATTTAAATGTGAATTTATTTGGGGACATATGATGAAATGGATAAAAACACATATATTGGAGAAGCTCAGAGAAGTAAGACGTTTATTGAAATGTGTGAAATCATTACAAACATAATGTGTATCATGAAGAGTGTTTTTTAAACAAATAATTAAAGGTGTTGTAAAATGTCAGATAAAGTTTAGGAGAATAACAATTTTCCTATAAGAAATAGATAGGCATATACCTCTAAATTAAGAATGTATATGTTTTATTCACAATGTGGGATAGTGAAATATTTGCAGGATTTCTACAGGAATATTCAAAAATAGAAATGTGCAGAGATGCATTAATGATTATGATTTTACATGTAGTTCAGCGATAAATATCAGATATTAAAACAATGTGTTCAAAGCTAGGATAAAAAGCCTTCATCGTTCTACCTACATCTGCATTTAATCCAGTCACTCACTGCAGAAGGCAACTGGGGAACATTACTCAACGGCTCAATGATTTTAAAAGGCATCAATCGATACATGCAATTACAGAACACTAAAATGCTTTCTACTGATTATCTTTTATAGACATGAGTCAGGTAGACATGTGTATGTAGGATGATTTTTAAAAATTAACTTAAATATATCAAATGAAGATGTAAGTATCTAATGAATTTTCAGTCACTAAATAAGTATTTATTCAAGTCTCATAGGACTCCTCTGTTAAGTATCCATCAGCCAGTCATCTTTCCTAAGAATTCCCTCTATGAAAGGCAATAGCAGTTATAAGAACTCTAAATCTAATAGAGGGACATGGATCCAGCCTTTATATAGACCACAATCTACTTCTCTATGCCTATTTCCAACCACAAATACCAGAATTACATAGCTATGTTAAGCTAAGAACCGTAAAGACTGTTTAAAAGAAGAAATATTTTCACTGTTAAGATTTCAATTCTAATATTATAAATACTTACTGAGTACCTGCTATGTCAGACACTTCATTAAGGACAGGGAATATCAAAGTGAATAAGGCATCCCCAATTCCAAATGTAATTTCTACTATCCAAAAAGTCATTGAAATAGGTTTTATGCACAAGAGAAAAAAATAAATCCATATTTCAAACATGGATTTTATTTCCCCAATACCTCCTATGTTCTTTGAAATGATGCAACATTAAACTTGAGTAAACAGATGTTATGTTTACAAAAGCTTAAAATATTCCCCATACATTGGGATAACAGTATCACGATTAAATTTTGTTGACAGTACACATCAGCAAAGTTACTGAATGGGGGAAAGTTGGAAGTTCTTTCCATTAGGGGAAAGAGCCTGAAGTGCACTGACTTGGCCCAGCCACAACACTAATAAGAAAAGAGACAGCGCCCATGACTAGGGGAAATGGCTCCAAGAGGCAAATGAGCTACATAGGGACTGGGAGTCAGGGGCAAATGCTAGCACAGGCACCCATGTTTAAACCTGAGGGCAACAGGGTAACACAGAACCTAGGGAGGCAGTTAACTGATGGTCTGAGTAAAATATACCAAAAAAGGGGGTGGGGAGCACAACATGCCAACGACAATACGACTTACCTATACCAAACTTTTCTAGGCTTGACCCAGTGCCTATTTAAATTACTAGCAGTATGATATCAAATTTCAGATTAAAATGAGGCTCTAGTCTGATAATGAATTATCAGACTCTAGACACCATTTATACGAATAAATTTGTGAAAAATTTTTTAAAACTGGTACTATATATAGCAATTACCCAAATCATATTAAAGAATAATTAAATAATTAAAGGGAAAATTAAAACATTTTTCAAAATATATGTTTTTATTGACTTCAGAGAGGCAGGAAGAGAGAGAGACAGAAACATCAAAGACGAGCGAGAACCATCTATCAGCTGCTTCCTGCATGCCCCCTATTTGGGGATCAAGGTTTCCACATGCGCTGACCAGGAATTGAACCATGACCTCCTGGTTCATAGGTGGATGGTCAACCACTGAGACACACTGGGTGGGCCATTTTATACATTTTTTATCTTAACATCAATATATTTCACAGCCAAGAGATCTTATATTTTTTATTTAAATATTTTCATTCTAAAATTTGATTAAATTTTTCCTGGATAAAGCAACCTAGGTTTGAAAAATACAGAACTTGTGAATCACAACTATAATAGACTACTGTTAGACAAACGACTAAATCATAGTTTAACCATAAACACTACTAACTACATAACAAACAACAGTAGTATTTAAATCAGATTCTTAAATGCATAGAGTTATCTAAAACTTAAAATTAATCATAGTTTTGTAAATCTGGGTACTAATTATACAATATCTTGTTTTGCTGTCTTTTGGGAAGAAACAGGGATGCTACAACAATTAGATTTTAAGAAGTACTACACAAAAAATGTATGTCTCATATATGAACAGGCATTTGATAATCTTTGATTAATTAATTAATGATTGGCATTTATAAAGTTCCTAGCTAATCAATAAACTCTATTTTTGAACAGAAGTACAATGAGTGTGAATGCCTTGATGTTTCTGATACCACTAAGTAAATACGTTGTTGAATTAGTAAAATTCCTTAAGTGGTAATAATGTAGTAAAAACGAGCGAGGCTGCCCTTCATCCCCCAAAGATTTTATGGTCATGTTTTCAAGCTCAAGAGGAAGAGTCAGTATATTATTGGACATGTAATAGAAACATAAGTTTCATGTTCTATAGTGCATTATTACAATGCTGAAAAATGCAATAGTTAGAAAACAAAACAAAAAAATGCTGCCACCATCAGTTGAAATTTACGGTATTTAACTGAAAATTTTCTCAACTAACCTTAGAATCACTTTATTTCAAGAAACAGTTACAACAAAACAAACAAGGTTTTGGAATCTATCCAAATCATCCCTGGCAGTTCACACTGATGAACACTACCTAAGGTAAATTAAATACCACACTTAGTGTCTAAAAACTAAGAATTTACCCAAATGAACACTATTTTCCCCATATCATTACTGGAGTTTTGTGAGTGTTCTTTATGCTCATGTTTTCAAGCTCTGCAAGAAATTTCTTATTTTTCTTTGAGGTGTTAGTGAAAATACAGTCTCCTACATTTTCCATTCATTCATCATTTACTGAAAACCTGTGTTGTGAGGATTAAATGAATGACTGAGCCTAAGCACTTGGAGTAGGGCCTGGCACACAGGAATCACCACAGAAGTGTGTTAGCTATAAATTATCATTTGCTAGACTCTGTGTAAGACACCGCTCCTTTCCAGCTCTAGAATTCCTGTAGCTGGAATCTCAGACGAGATGCCAGTGGGTTATTGAGTTACTCCCAGAAAGGAGTTTAGACGAAAGTCACCCAGCCACAGACACTACTCTCTTTCCCATTTCAGAACTCAAGTTATATTTTAAAAGTAGTTCACATTTTCTTTCTCTCTGAGTGTACACACACACACACACACACACACACACACATACACACACACACTTTTGCTTTTACTACTGATCTTTGTAGATACTACTAGTTCTGACACTGAGCTGTTCCTACATACAGCTTGAAAAGGCAGGACTATTATTTAGTGGCTCATTTAAAAAAACATTTTATATATAATACTAGAGGCCTGGTGGCAGCGCTAGATTCCAGCCCTGGATGTCTGGCTCCAAAACACAC